TGTTTTTTCTGCAACATCTTGAATGAGTGTGCAGTGACAGTACGTAATCGATAATTTAAACAATTTGCCGTATTTACCGAAACAGTAATTGCTTAATATGCTCTGTAATAAATTAAATGTATTCTAATTCGTATTAGTTTGTTTCCACCATCAAAACTGTTTCAGCGGAAGTTTTTCTTACACTCCTATTTTGGTCCGGTACCGTTTCTGCGAAAGGCCCATTCAGTAGTCTTCACTGGTTAGTTATGTCGGTAATTTTATACGTCAACGAGATAGTCAACATCATTCCGTTGTATATCTTGAAGCACGTATATACAGTTTAATTTCATAATATGTTATTACCATATAAATATTTTGTCAGGGTTTGTTTATAATATGTATCTATATATGTTTGATTATATACATATTTTTAATGAATCATATATAGACTGAAATTAGTTTTTATTAACAAAAATATCACTTTACTTTTTTTACTAAAAAAGAGACAGTTCTATAATTACATTGGACAACAAACTTCAGGATTGAATTCTTTTGCATTTGTAGTAACCGGTTTAAGTTCACAAGTTTAGTCCTTTATTGTCCTTTAATTTTCAGGTGTATTTTTATACGTAATATGTACATTTTAATATTCTAACGTTCCATTTTACGCAAACGAAAAATTTATTAACTACTCCGAGATCGCAGTCACATTAGTTACCGGCCATGAATTATTTCTTCTCGCCAATGATTAATGTTCAGAATTAGTTACGCGTTGCTCTGGAATAACAGCTTCACCTTTCGCAGTCCACCACAACACAGGCTGACGTTTCAATTGTACTAATCGTCTACACGCAAAACTACACTCTGTCATGTCCAAGTTAAAGCACACTTTCGTTATATACCATTGTGATATACAGCTGTGCGGAAAACCTTCGGGGGTTCCGTAATCTGCTTCGACCCAATCGCAATTAATGGGGTCCGAACAGCTCTGCGAAAGCCCAGGACGAGGATACAAATTGACTAGACTCGTGATGATGCCAGTTCTTATGCCGTCCACTATTAGTTATTCGATGTTTCTTTAATCTGGGCTTTAATAATTTGTAATTCCACAAAGTTTATAACATTTTCGGAGTAACTTAAAGTTGATGATTTAGAAAAACAAAAGATTATTAAAATACAACATGCCTTCACTATATTAAAGTTGCTTTAAGTTACCATAATAAATATAACTTTTACCTTTTTTACTTCATGTAAATGCCTTGCATTATTGAAAAAGACATGATTATGAATCTATGTTGTATTTTAATTAATTGTAAATATACCGCTTCCAGTAGTAATCTATAGTAGTGACTGTTTCAATTCTGGGATTGCTTCTCGATTTGTCGCTATAATGTCATACAATTTTCACTATTGTGATGCCAACCCAGCCGGATACGAGGCAACTTGAATTGGGTTTTCCTCACAAATGCTCACAATATTACCAATAACCATTACGTATTTAGGGAATCCGAATGCATTAGGCCTTTTGTGCTTAAACACTAAACATTGTATTCTAAGTAATGTATAATTTATATACAGATTCCAATTTATAATAACGTTATGGAATTTTATGATGTACATAATCATGTAAATCATCTTATCCAATTTTATCATCATCATTCATAACTGACTTCCATGGTGGAGCAACGTGCACGTTGGTATCGTCAAATGCAATTTTCTAAATTGGAGCCGCTTATTCGTAGACATCTAATAGTTGCCTCTTACATTTAGTTTTCTATATACTAAAATACATACATATTACTCATTGAATTCCGTTAATCTTCTCGGAAATACAAAATGTCAGAATCCGGTGTTGTCAATTTTAATTCTAATCGCTTTGTTGAATCCTTTCCAAATATTTATAATGTTCATACTGATAATTGAAGTAAAGAGTTAGAAACCGTACAAACACCCTCTTACAGACAGTACAACTCAATCGATTTAGTAATAATATCACTATGAGAATTAACTGCATTTGTTTGCGTTACAACTCAAACTAATAAATCAACGGAAACGCTGACTGTCCGGGTAATATACTCCGTGGCATCGATGCACTAATTGCTACTGATGCGGTATTCCGCATTCAATCCCCGCACATGCGTCACGCTCCAGATTGCTGTGTCAGACCTTTTGATATGATGTTTGGTCTGGTGCAGTAATGTTTAGCTGGGATTAAGGAAATCTCTTTGGTAAACAATTCTAATACCAATCTGGCAGTACTACGGAATTTAAAGTAAAAACTCTTTTTTTTTAGTTAACAATATGATAATTGAAGTTGATATTTGAACTTTGTCCTCTTAAACACTCATGCAAATAGGGTTCAAGTTGCTATTAGAATCAATCAGGGTTCGTCACAATGCGACATCTAATGCTCAACCTAACAATAAATATTATAAATATCAATTGTTATATATCCGTTGATATTCATCAGGAACCCTGTTTAGAATGCACTAGTCTGCAGTTCTTTTCCTTAATTGGTATAGTTATCTTAAGCCAAGAGTAGGCCGAGATTACTACCTCAATAAAAAAATCACCTTTTGTTTACTTTTCACCTAATTATACGTTTCTGTACGCCGTACTTGGCAAACGTTTGAGTAAAGATTTCTTGAATAACAAAGTAAAAAAGAAACTTAAAGGCAACAATATACCCATTACTTAAATACCTTGACGACTTGTATGGTTATGAATATACGAGGGTCAAACTGAAAGTTCTTAGAACTGGCCACTTATAAACAATATAATAAAAAAATAATTCTAAAATTTGAAAATATAACTCTTTGCCAATATTACTGAGTATATATTTCATTCATTTGTCATTTGTTTTACGATTTGGCGGCAAATTGAAAATTGTCTGTGTCACGTCATCATGAATTTAACACGAGAAAATTTTCGTGCAATGATTTTTTATGACTTTCGATGTCATTTAAGTCAACAAGAAAGTTATGATAGACTACGATTGGCCTTTCACGATGAAGCCCCATCTCGTGCGACTGTTTACAACTGGTTTAATGAGTTTAAACGTGGTCGCACTAATCTCACTGATGATTTACGTGAGGGACGGCCTTCTACGGCGACGACTGAAGATAACATCTGTGTTGTGCGGCGTATGATAGAGACTGACAAAAGAGTGACCTATCAACAGATTCGGACAAGCTTAGGCATCGGTATGAGTCAAGTGCACAAAATCCTCCACGAACATTTAGCGGTCAGGAAGCTTTGCGCCCGGTGGATACCTCATAATTTGACTGAGGCTCAAAAACTCCATCGTGTGGATTGGTGTCGTAAAATGATTGAAAGATTTAACGGAGGTGACTCAAATGCTGTGTTCGACATACTAACAGGTGACGAAAGCTGGATTTACTGTTATGATCCTAAAACCAAAAGACAATCTGCTCAGTGGGTGTTTCCTTTCGAGGAGTTGCCAACTAAAGTGAAGAGAGATCGAAGTGCGGGAAAAAAAATGGTGGCCTCGTTCTTTGGAAGGATAGGTCATTTTGCAACAATTGTGTTAGAGGATCAAAAAACAGTTTCTGCAGAATGGTACACTACCAATTGTTTGCCACTTGTCTTGGAAAAAGTTCGAGAGAAACGACCTCGCAGTAGGATCCTCCTTCACCACGACAACGCCTCGTCGCACACCGCCAAGCGAACGATCGACTATTTGGCGACATCAAACGTTGAATTACTGGGTCACCCGCCGTATAGCCCCGACCTCGCGCCTTGTGATTTTTATTTATTTCCAAAAATTAAAGAAAATCTTAAAGGAAAGCGGTTTATGAATGCTGAAGAAGCGGTGGCTGCGTATCGCGATGCCATTGAAGAGACCCCTAAGGACGAGTGGGCAAAGTGCTTTTCCCAGTGGTTCCATCGCATGCAGCGGTGTATTGACGTGAATGGACAATATTTTGAAAAGATATAATAAAACTAATAACTGGCTAATGTAATCAGTTTTTGATTTTCTAAGAACTTTCAGTTTGACCCTCGTATAACAGACTTTATATTACATTTTAATCTGCTATACTATTCTAAGAAATATGAATCTTTCGATATATAATAATTAAGACATAGATATACAGAAACCATAACGAAGCTGCAAATATATTCGCCTTCATTAGTCCCCGTTTGCTTCTATCCCAATACGGTGATTTCGTATGCAACGCATTGGCAATGCAATCGAGCTGCCACCAGGGGAGCAAGCTCATGTAATGTATTGCATTCGCTCGCATCGATCACAGACAATCCTTTGGCTAACCAATAGAACTCATTTAGATATAGCTAGTGATGTATCGTACAAAAAGATTTGTTTTTTATGCACGTTCGAAATTCTGCGCAATCTAACTGATAACTCCTATAGTGATAATAGATTAATTTTATTTAATTAATAATTTTGTTTATTGACAGCTGACTTATTTTTTATTTTGCCTATTTATATTTGGCAGCTAATTTATAATACATGTATTACAAAGTTTGTCAGATGCTTCGTTTAATTACATCTACCATTTAATAAAACATAATTCCCAAATACCATAAAACAAGGGCATTCACCTCGCAAATATCTCCCCTTAGGTAGCATTAGTAAACACGGGGGAGTCAAAATAAATTTCCACCCTCACCCTAATTCGAAAACGAAGTATCCCCTTACGTTTCGCCCTATGTGTTGTCATGACAACGGCGCCCTTGGTAGAAAACTGCATCGTGATATATAAACATTCCAGAGACGCGTTTCAAAGAGAATATAAGTTCGACCCGACCGTTATTGATATTTTCAATACCTTAACCTGTGTGGCTCAGACGGTAACAAATTGCTAGAAAAATATTTATTAGTACCACTTATTCATCACATTTATGAATACAATATATCTGTGTCTGTCGTCAGAACACATTTGCTTGTTTTTCATATACCAATATTTTAAGATCTAATATTTTTTTAATATGATTAATCGTTCTTTTTATATTGTTACAGGGATGCCGGTTTTCTGAAGATGGCCTCACGCACCCCGTCCCTTGAGTCGCTGCCCGGTGCCAACTCTATAGGTTCGCTAGAGCGTGGCTCCTTATCACCCCTGACTCTTAGCGGTTCTTCGCCTCCTGCGAGCGATTCCGCCGTATGTGATCTTCGTGAATTCGACGGCCTCGACACCACCTGCGCGATCTGCCGAGAAACTTTCGTCGACCCCAAAGTATTAAACTGCTTCCACACATTCTGCCGAGCTTGCTTAGAGAGGGAGCAAACGCATCCAGATAAAGTTACTTGTGTCACTTGCCGCGTCGACAGTCAGCTACCGCCGACTGGTGTTCACGGACTGCTGCCCAATCTTGTGATAGCTGCTGCTGTAGAGCAGGACGCTGATCTCCTGCCATCGTCCCGTCAAACGAATTCGCCCTCAGCTCGCTGCACAGGGTGTAAATCTAAAGAATCTGACGCTGTAGCTCGCTGCGTCGATTGTGCAAACTTTCTCTGCCCGAACTGCGTCATGGCGCACCAATTCATGCACTGTTTTGAAGGTCACCGTGTACTTGCGTTCACGGACTTAAAAGATGACAAGGGTATGCTCGGATCTACCCTTACGACGAGTGGTGATAAAACCGCGTTTTGTCCAAGACATAAGAATGACATTCTGAAATATTTTTGCCGCACATGTTCCGTGCCCGTCTGCAAAGAGTGCACCATAATCGAACACCCGGCCGCTTTGCACGATTGCGAACATTTATCTGACGCTGGCCCTAAACAGCTAGAGCTTATGCAACAATCAGTTAACGAAGCTAAAACGCGAGCCACTGAAATCAGGCATGTAGTGAAAACTGTTGAACATGCCGCTGGGAAACTACAAGTACAGTATCACAAAGCTCAAAATGAAATTAATGATACGTTCCAATTCTATCGCTCTATGCTAGAAGAACGCAAGCAGGAATTACTGAAAGAACTTGAAAGTGTATTCTCGACAAAACAAATTGCGCTGACCGTAGTCGGGCAAAAAGCTCAAGAGACTGTCGATAAAATTTATCAAACTTGCGATTTTATGGAACGCCTTACCAAATGCGCTAACATAGCTGAGATTTTAATGTTCAGGAAGTTGGTAGACAACAAATTACAGTCGCTGATGAGTTCCAATCCCGAACAAAGCATGCAGACAGCCTGCGAACTTGAATTTGTTTCAAATTATCAAGCAATACAAGTTGGTGTGCGTAATACTTTTGGATATGTGCGTTCTAGTTCAGAAGCGAACGTAGGTCCGACTAAACAGCCACCTATTGCTAGACCTACCAATGGTTCACTTTTGAATGGTGGTTCATCATCCAGCAGCAGCAGCGTCAACGGTAGTTCGGGAAGCCTTAATGGTGGAATCCATTTGCCGACTGGTCTAAATGGAGTTTTGGATCGTCCGTTCACCAACGGCCTCCTTGGTCCGACAAGTCAATCGACGTCGCCATTCGAGTCAAATATTATTTCTAAGAGATTCAACAGTGCCAACAGCCTTGGACCATTCTCTACCGCTATTGGAGATATCAATTTGAACGGAATCAACCCCTATGAGAAGTGGTCTAACGGTGGATGCGACCCACTGTTCCCAGCCGCCACTTCTGATCCGTACTCTCTTACGGCTGGGGCACACAATGATTCAATTTTGGACCTTACTAACAAACTAATTTCTACTGCCATTTTCCCTCCGAAATCACAAATTAAACGACAAAAGATGATTTATCACTGCAAATTTGGAGAATTTGGCGTCATGGAAGGTCAGTTCACTGAACCGAGTGGTGTCGCCGTCAATGCTCAAAATGATATCATCGTTGCCGACACTAACAACCATCGTATACAGATATTCGATAAAGAGGGTCGTTTCAAATTTCAATTTGGGGAATGTGGAAAACGTGACGGTCAACTATTATACCCGAACAGAGTAGCTGTAGTTCGCACATCCGGCGACATCATCGTCACTGAGAGGTCACCGACTCATCAAATTCAGATTTACAATCAATATGGACAGTTCGTTCGTAAATTCGGCGCAAATATTCTGCAGCATCCGCGTGGTGTCACCGTTGACAATAAAGGTCGTATTGTTGTCGTGGAATGTAAAGTCATGCGTGTAATCATTTTCGATCAAGTCGGTAATGTACTACAAAAGTTCGGATGCTCCAAACACTTGGAATTTCCAAACGGAGTTGTGGTTAATGACAAACAAGAAATCTTCATTAGTGACAACCGCGCGCACTGCGTCAAAGTATTCAATTACGAAGGCATTTACTTACGCCAGATCGGTGGTGAAGGGGTTACTAATTATCCCATCGGCGTTGGCATTAACGCAGCTGGCGAGATCCTTATTGCAGACAATCACAACAATTTCAACCTAACTATATTCACACAGGATGGTCAATTGGTTTCCGCGCTGGAAAGCAAGGTGAAGCACGCACAGTGCTTCGATGTCGCTCTCATGGATGATGGCTCGGTCGTCCTCGCCAGCAAAGACTACCGGCTGTACATCTATCGTTACGTGCAAGTACCTCCAATAGGTATGTGAGCCACACGTTCTGATCACAGGAGATCGGAATGACCGATGAACTATAGAAACGCAATGAATAACAAGTGCCGTTGAAAAGTTATCGGTAAATTAAAAGCCATTGTGTCAATTTTTGTATAGATCAATATCAAGTGACGATTTCAAGTGAAATAGAACTTGCTAAATTTTTGTAAGTGCAGGTGTTTAATGATTGTGGCTGTCTCGATGTGATCATTTTGACTAACGATGGGAATTCTTTAAAATATTTTTTGGCATGAGATCTCTATATGCATTACTTCTAATGAAACTGTAATGAGATTAGTTGATAGTATTGATATTGTTATTCGAGTACCTATTAAAAAAAAGGATTGGAGATTATTCCGTTGGATCGATTCAAACATTGCGAACGGTGTTCTCGAACCTTATCATTTTTTAATCTATTGAATAATATTTTTTCATATCCCGCATCGTTAAATTAGGGATGAATATTAAGGGCATTTGTATTATTTAGCCCATTTGTTGGACCAATATTTTAACTATTACTTAACAAATTGTTAGGCGTTAAGCGTGTGATTTTATCATATAAGAGAGCATCGAGCGGTATTGTTGTTAGTTTTAAGATTATTCTTCGGCACAACGGCACTTCCTGTTTTTAATTAGCACCTATTCTGTGTCGATTGAAATATGATTATGGAATTATGTAAGAAGTTGTTACATTATTATTAGGTAAGTGTTAAATTGATTGAGCTGATATGGACAATCTTTAGTTACTACCCCTCTTAATGTAGTTACAAAATTCGAAGGGAAATGTGATGTTAGGGGTTTTATCAATGACAAAGTTGACTGTGGCGTTCCTTGCGTTATACAATAGCATATTAACGATTACAACTGGAGGACGGTTGTCTTAACTGAATTATGTACATCACAATACGGAAAGAGGTCCGAAATGTTTTATAGAGCTCAATTTGTTTCTAAATAGAGCCGAATCTTCTTGTACACTCCATGACTTGAGTATTATAAAGCATTTTAGATAAACTATGAGTCCTAATGGTTTATAGAAATGGTTGTAGTTATTTTTATTATATTGGAAGACAGTTTTTTTTAATATTATTATTATTATTTGATCGATATCATTACCGCCTAGTCACTGAGAGCCCACGGACCTTAGTTTCCTCGTGTTGTTTTTGACTATAAATAACACTTGATTGATAATAATATTATTCTCATTAATAAAAATTTTAGTATTTGAATGTTTTTAGTAATTAATTGAACACAGTAGTAACTAGTAGAGCACTTTAAGAAATCATTGTCTCGCTAGCATTTTTTTTTAATAATGGATAATATTACTTATATTTTTTTAACAGTGGGACGTAGAGACACCGCCAAGTGAAAACGCGTTTTTACTACTTACTGGAGTATTATAGCTTGCTCGTATACAAAATAATTATACACTTTGTTATTCTGGTAAGATTTATTATTTTTTTATATGAAAACGTATTTTGTAGTAGTAGTAGTAATACGGTGCATGTGTAACATTTAATTATTTTTTCGTATTTTATAAATATTAATGCTATTATTATTTTTTTTACTTCATTACCGTGTGTTTGAGTGTGTTAGCAGAATTATTTTAGTTCGATTTCATTAGATTTTGGTTTTTAGTGAATAATGATCTTTAGTATTTTTTTAATTATTATTTCGCTGAATCTATGACAATAAAGAGATCTGATGCGGTCCTTTGCTCTTTATCGTGGATGAATTGTCTTAATTTTGATCTGCTTAGGTTTAATGAGTTTGTTTCCATTTGGTGATATTCCTATTCTCATAAATTAATTATCCCATTGATATATTGAAGACACGTCGGCCATCAGCGTTTTGCGTGCTCGCGCGCCGTGGTGTGGTGCATTACCTGCGTTGCAAGTGCCATACAATCAAGTTGTGATTTAATAAGTGATATTTAGTATTGTTTGTAAATATGTACCATACTCTGATTTATTGAATTTCTTATATAAGTCCGATGGATGTCTTGAATGATTTCATAAAATTTCTTCAGTGCAGTGTTATCCAATACTTTTACGTATAAGCATTATGAAATTCTTATATTATCAGAATGCGATCGGTTGGCTATCGTGCACTGATTTAAAACATTTGAGATCAACCGTTGTCCACATAATCTTTCTGTTCTTGCGTTCCACCACGCCTTAAACGCTTGCAGTCTGGACGTGTCTTCGATTGGTAGTTTAATAATCAATTCCACTGGATTAAGCGAATTACAATTAAACAACGTATTATAAGAGTCCAAATTTCAGTGATTCATCACCAATGATTCTTTTATAGGCATCCCTGTTCCTAGTAAATTAGAAAATACCAATTTCCTTGTTAGTTGTATTTCGCCTAAACCACTGGTGCACTGGACTTAATTGATTTTAAGGTTATTGAAATTTGCCACGCCGTCTGCTTCATCTCAGTTTTTTCTGTCGAATCACAATCATTGCATGTAAACACATAAACTTATACAGGTAAATCCCAAATGAGCTCACCCATGATATTTTTATTATGATCTACAATTGCTTAATTTTATTTTCGCTTTACAATTGTATTTATTAAAGATTCGCCCCAAAAGACTGAGATTATGCTCTAGGTATGTTGGGTATGACATTTATTTAGTTTTTTATACACGTCACGAGAAAAATTACAGTATTTATTAACAATGTGCAAACCGCCTTTACAATTATAGAGTCCTAAAACGAAATTATGAGAATTCGACTTTATTGTTTAAATATATCTTCTGTGGGTGTTTTCGTGGTACTCCACGAAAACACAAAAAAGATATAAATACCTGAAATTATGTAGAAATGGAGAAACATAATTGTGTTTTAGGCACACAAGATGGAGATAGTTGTGGAGGGTCAATTTTTGTCATCAATTCGAATCCTTAAAATTGTGTATTATGTCCCTATAATTCTAAGGATGCGTTTGCATGAACCTTGAGAATAGCCATTGTAATTTTTATGAGTGAACAATTTTGGTATCAACGTACGCTTTTTTACTTAATTGAGATCATTTCAACGTATTATATTAAATTAAGTATAGTATAGGTCATCGAAAATTACTATAAGATTTGCAAGTAATGACAAATACAAACTACGCCTATGTAAAACCGTACTCAAATTTTTGTGTTAACGTATTTTTTTCATTCGTAATTATTATTGTGTATTAGCATAATAAATGAAAAAAAAAGTTTTTTTTCTTTACGAAAACATTTCATTCTTGTAATTGCATTTCGAAAGCTTGAGGACTGATAAATTGAACATGTTTTGTCTTTAAATATATTTTGTCGATGTTTGTTGTTATAATTATTATATTTTTTTGATTATTTGTATAAACAATTGTTCTTTAAATTAATGTACATCGTTTTGTTTTGAATTATTTTTGTTGTATAATTGCTTTTTTATAATAATACCAGTTCATTGCAGTTTTATTGTGTGTTTTATTTTTTCTTTAATTTTTCTTTGCCCGCCTCGCTTATTGTAGTTTTAAAATTGCTCTAAGTCATTTTAGATCTACCTCTAAATTGATTTGGACCGATTTATGTGGATGTTTGTGTTAATGGATCTATATCGGGAAACACTCTATTTGACAAGAATTTTCATTTATCGCTTTGTTGAAGATTTTGAATTACTTTCACAAGTTGAGTTCAGCAGAATTCATAATAATTTTCTTAGTATTCGTATTATTCAAATTCTTTAATAGAATAGATTCTTTTTAAATCACTATAAGACATCTAAATGAAATCGGAATAATTATTATTTCCATTTAATTATGATAAACTTCATCGGTTTACTCATTACTGTCATTGAAATCAATGAGAATTTTTCACTTTCGTATTATTTCATAGAGACATTCCAAAATAGATCATGATCGTATCATAATGGAGTTTCCATTCAAATACATCACGATTCTTTAACACAAACGTCCTACTTGGTGGTAGGTTCTACTAGTGTGATTTTTTTTTGTGTGAGTGCATCCATTTTGAGATTTCATTTGAAGCAGTTGGTTTTGGGGAACAAAAATTGGCATGTATGACGTAAGTACTGCTTTATCTGTAAGTATGTGACGTTATCGAGGAGGGAACTGAGGACGATATGATTTTATAAAATAATAGAGATTACAACGATTTTAATGTCCAAATCTATGATTATTAATTTTCTAAAATCAATCACGATCAATAAAAAAGAAAGACCAATTTAACATAAACGATAAATCAGAATATGATCGCTCTCAGTTCTTTTATATCCACACACGATACAAAAAAGTAGTAAATTCAGCAAGCAAAATAGCCATTTTAATAAGTAAATAAAAAAATGACGACTCCTTTTTTAATATATCTAAACTCACAATTTTCACAAGTAATTAATAATTAATTTGATCACTACTACATTTGAAAATGATTCGAAAAGAAAACTATAAGTGTTAATTGTCTAGAAAATCCGGGTAAACTACTCAGTGTATTAGGCGGTATAACAAATCTTGTTTCCATTTCAGCCGTGAGGCACAAAAATACATATTCTTATGAACGTAGGCTATAATCTTCGTATTAAGGACTATTTGTAATCTAAGGTAAGTAACAGTAATATCCCGAATAAGCTTTACTTTTCTACGAAAAAGATAGCTTATAAAAACAGTCTTAGGTTTCTTTGAAGACCGTAACCCTTCCCTCAGCAGCAGCACTGCTTCAAAGATTTATAAATTACAAAAAGAAATGCGCTAACCAAATCCACTATTTCCAAGTCAATTACTATAGGGAACATTTTACTAATAACTCTAGCACCTACTAGTTATGTAAGCAGACGCTAGGCTTACAAATTGTTTATAATTTTATACTCAGCCATTTTCTTAAGACTACAATTAAGATTTCAACCTTTTATATCATTTGACTCTGTTACTATAATAACATCATCCAAAAAAAAAATTTAAATCGGCGCAATAGAATTCATCTTCATTATATTCACCTTACATGTAAT